ATGTCACCTCCATTCCCTCATGCTCCCTGCATGCTACATTCTTCCCCACAGAATGACTTTCTATCTCCATTCTAGTTATTTCAGTAAGGTTCCTCAGTAGACATGCACTGAATTATTAATTGGGATTTCTAGATGAGCTCTCCACTCAGATGCCTACCAGAAATCTCACACTTTACATGTCTAACATCTAACTCTCGATTCCCTCTTACAATCATCCCCACTTCAGTAAATGACACCTCCATCCTTCCAGTTGCTTTGGCCACAGCCTCTCTTTCCTTCAAGCCTTCATCCAATCCATAAGCAAATACTGCCAACCACAGACACATCCAGTCACCTTCCCCAACTCCAGCCTCTAAGCCACTCCTCCACCCCTGCCAGTGCCTACAGGCTGGACTCTTGCTGCCATTCGGGACTCTACAGTCAGGCCCAACACAGAAGCCAAAACTGCTCTCAAAATGGCATCATATCATGCCCTCCTGCACTGAAACCTGCGGCAACCATGGCCACCCAAGGCAGCCAGTCCTGCGCAGCCAGCACAGCCTGGCATAGCCTTTCTGCTGTCCCCAAGTGCATGGTGGCTCCTGTTCCACATCTCTGGAGGGAGCTTCCAAATGCCCACCAGGCCTGCAATCTTGTCCCTTTGTCAGGCGCTCTCTAAGACAGGAGAGTCCAAGCCCAAACTCAGTGCTTCCAGTCTGCTGTTCTTACAGCACTTAGCACCACTGACATACACCACTGTTCACTTCTCCACTGTCTGTGTAAGTGCCACCCTGTTTACTAGAAACTAACTCACCAAGAGAGTAGGACAGAGCTACCAGCATGGTGGTACATGCCTGTAATCCTAGCATTCAATCCCAGAGCCTAAGGCAGGAGGATTGCTGGGAGTTGCAGGCTAGCCTGGGCTACACAGTGAGTTTGAGGCTATCTCAAAAACAAAACCCTCTGTGTGTGTGCCTGCACACACAGATGTGCACTACAGACTGAGCCCAGGGCCATGTTTTGCTAAACATACACTATCACTGGCCTATAATACCTAACCGTTTAAAACTTTATAGACTTTCAGGGGTAAAGGGGCCTCACCAGTAGGAAGAGACTAACATAGCACCAGTCTACAAATCCTGGGCCCTTTTAGGGGCTGATTATTATTTTGTTTTGGGGTTTTTGTTTGTTTTGTTGAGACAGTTTCATTAGATAGTTCAGGCTGGCCTTGAACTTACTATGTTACTCAGGATGGCCTCAGACTTGCAGACATCCTCCTGTCTCAGCCTCTTGAGCACTGGGATTACAGGTGCACACCACCATAGCTGGCAAGAGCTCATCAAATTTACATATTTTATCAATGGAAGATGCCTTCTGGCCAAATGATGGAGATAAGGATGTCTTCCTGGAAGGTGGGGTCAGTTCCACACTAGAGGAGAGAGAAGGTGTGTTATGGGAACCATGGGTTTCTTCAGGAGAGGTGAGACAGATTTGTGAGCAACTAAAAACCCCGACAACACATTTCAAATGGGTAAACTGCATGGCATGTGAATTACATCTCAAAAAAGCTGTCATATTAAAGACAAAGACAACTGGAAAGAGCAAGGCTCATGCAGGACTATGAAGCTGAGGGAGAAGCAGAAACCAGGCACAGACACACAGCGTCTACACAGCTGAGACGAGGAATCTCATCCTCCATCCTCCTCTCCTTGGGCCCTGCTTGTTCACAGACCTCGATGCTAGCTGGGCACTCCACTGTGGACCTGACAGAAGGGGACAGGCTCCGTTTGTTCACATACCCTGGGGGCAGCCCTCCCACTGGACCTTGTACAAGCATCACCTCTGGGTCATGGGGACCCCAAATCTAAGCCAGAAGCTAAGAGCCTCAGACCTGTTGGAAACCAAACCTCCACCTCAGCAGAGGAAGTGGCCACTCCACAGGATCACTCTCCCCTCCTCTGGCAGCCACACATCTGTTGCTCTGAGGCTGCCACCAACTGTGTCTGCCATAAGCAGGTGACCATCCCAGCAATTCTCTAAGGGAAAGGTTCACTGGGACACCTGCAGGAAGCATGCTGTTCAGGTCAGGGTGTCTCCATGGTGGCCACAGATCAGCACGACAGTCAGTAGCTGGTTAGTGTCTCTCCTAGCCTTTGCTCTCTCGTCCCCCTCTTCCTTCCACCACACACATTCCTAGTGTGCCATGGGGTTATGTTCCCAGGAAATTCATTGTAAGCTTAAAGTATCATAAGTCAGTAACGTACTGAACACACCTACCCTACTGCTGTGCTTAAAACATTCCCTCCATAATTTGCACAGTTTTGGGGTTTTGTTTTATTTGATACTAGGTTGAACCCAGGGCCCTCACACTGAGCTACATTCCCCAGCCCTTTATTTTCTTTTATTTTTATTTTTACTTTGAAACAGGACCCCCCAAAGTTGCTAAGTTGCCCAGGCTAGGCTTGAACTTAGAATCCTCCTGCCACAGCCTCCCTATTGATAGTCAATCAACACCATGACAGCATAAAAGGTTGGGCTTTTGAGAGGCAATTAGGCCACAGGATTCCACCCTCATGAATGGACTATAATGAAGGCAGGTGCAGTTCCTGATCAAAAGCATGAGTTCAGCCAGATTTTCTCTGTCTCCTGTGTGCCTGATAACCCTTCCACTGATGACAACAACAAGGACCTGAGCAGATGCGCCTTCTCAACCTCAGAAGTTCCAGCCTCTAGAACTAGAACCGTGGGCCAAATAAACTCGCACTGTTTGTAAGTTACAGAGTCTGGAGTACTCAGGAATAGCAGCAGAATACAGCTATAGGGATGGCAGCTCCTTCTGGGATCTGGGGATTGACTGTTCCCAGCAACCACAGGAAGAGGACCAAATTGCAGGACCTACAACATGCTGCCACTTTCACACCACAAAAAGGCAAGCCAGTGGACAGAACCGTCTGTGCACTTTCTCATCCTCTGCCCCATTCTACTTGTTCTCTCCCTCACTACCTCTTCTTCCCTCTTCTCTCCACAGAGCTCTGGAGCCTCTTTCACTGTGACTGCTTAGATCTCAGGCACTCAGCTTTCTGCACAAGAGCAGGGCCCTGGCCAGGAGACCCTGCACCACCACCCTCACCTGGTAAAAGAGCCAAAGCCCCACTGCGTTCCCACAAATGCCCTACATGGGTCCCCACTGGACTATGGGAATGATCAACAGGGCTGCACTCCATCCAAACATCTGTGTGATGTGCCTTTCCATCCCCAGATAAAAAGCAACACAAAAGGCCGAAATTTAGCTCAGTGGCAAAGCACCTTCTTTGTAAGCACAAGGTCCTGAGTTCTATCCCTGGTACCATTTAAAAAAAAAAAAAAAAGCAACACTAAGTGCCTTGCTCTTAGCTAGGCCTGGTGCCACACACCTGTAAGCTCAGCTATACACCTGAAAGCTGAGGCAGAAGGATCACTTAGACCTCAGAGCCAGATCCTATCTCTAAAATAAAAGTATATTTTTTTAAGATACATAGACAATATGATGTGATGTCTGGGATTTGCCTCAAAATATCACAGGACAGGAGGAGAGCCAGGAAGGCAAATAAATGAAAATGACTGGCCAGAATCATTAACTGTTGAATCTGAGGGTAGAGTACATAGAGCCTATGTCAGATGAGTTTGTTCTGTTTTGTTGGTAACGGGAACCAACTCAGGACCTTGTGCTTGCCAGGTAGGCATGACACCACATCCCTGGCTCCAGATGAGTTTTTCCTTCCTTTGTGAAATATGGGACCATAAGGATCCAGCCATTGGCTAGTGGACACCAAGGGTCCAGTGAGACAACCACCAAAGTCACACCTATCAGGGAGTTATTATACTAATTAAAAAACAGAAAATAACAACCGTTAGCAAGAATGTGAAAAAGTAAAATCCTTGTGCATTTCTAGAGGGAATATAAAATGGTATAACCATTATGGACAACAGTATGGCAGTTTCTTGGAAAATTAAAAAAAGAAAATGACATGTGCCAGATGTGGTGCACACACCTGTAATCCCAGAACTTGAGAGGCTGAGGCAGGAGGATCACTGTGAGTTCAAGGCCAACTTAAGACTATATAGCAAGACCCTGTCTCAAAAATCAAAACAAAACGAAAAAGGACATGACCCAGCAATTGTGTTTCTGTGTATAGACTCAAAAGAACCAAAAGCATGCTCTCCAGCTATCAGCATACCCTGTTCACAGCAGCATCAGGCACAATACCCAAAAGGCTGAAGCAGCCCAAGGATCCTGCATGCCCAGCTAAAGAAGATGCAGGCTATACACAAATGCAGTATTATTTATTCAGCCTTAGAAAGGAAGCCACTGGGGCTGTAGTTCAGCAGTAAAGCACTTGTCTGGCATGGGTAAGGTCCTGGGTATAATCTCTAGAATCATAAAATATAAGTAAATAAGAAGAAAAAATTTCTGATGAACACTATAACATGGAGATATTATACTAACTGATAAACCAAGCACAGAGACACATTCTGAATGAGTTCACTTATATGACATTCCTAATAGGCAAATTCAGTCAGAAAATCAAATAGTGGGGCCAGGGGTGTGGAGGAGGGAGGCAAAGAGCAGCCGTTTGATGGGTTGAGTTACAAGGTGACTGGACAGAAGGTTCTGGAAATGAGTGGAGCTTAGGGCTACATGGCTGTGAATGCACTTAATGCCAGTGAACTGTACACTTAAAAATGATAAATTGCCGGGCGTGGTGGCACACTCCTGTAATCCCAGCACTCAGGAAGCTGAGGCAGGAGGATTGCTGTGAGTTCGAGACCAGCCTGGGCTACATAGTGAGTTTCAGGTCAGTCTCAACTACACAGTGAGACCCTGTCTCAAACAAACAAACAAAAAAAAAAACAAAACAAAACAAATAAAAATGATAAATTTTCTTGTGCATATTTTACCACAGAAACAAAACCAACCCAAGAAACAGAAAAGCCCTCTTGTGTCCAAACGCAGCTCTTAAGGCCAGCTCAAGACATCATACCTTAGTGAGGTTCTCAAAACAAGGGTGTGGTGAGCGTTGCTGGGGGAGCTGAGCTGTGGAGAAAGGAAAAACTACCTAGGCACATGGTCTAGTGTCCAAACACCACCTACGGAAAGAAGAAAAACAAAATGTTTTTAAGTGGATTTAAAAACAAATGTTAAAGTAAGGAAAAGGTTTAAAACCTAATTATACTCATACCAGTGTAGATAAGACCCTCAGGAAAATCTTCAAACATAAATTCAAAGCAGGCCGCACAGGTAGTCAAAGGCAAACCCCTTCCAGCCCAGACCTGGCCCCTCCCTCCACCACTCCACCCAGAACCTGCCTAGGTTCAAAACCTAGCTGACTGCTCACCAGCTGTGAGATCTTGGACGAGTTTCTGCACCTGGGCCCCTTACAGAGGTTCAGTGAGTGGTGTGTGTAAACTTCTGGCCACACTGCCTGCCACCCAGCAAACACGTGTCTGCCACCAGACACCATGGCCAGCAAGCTTTTCCTTGCATGTTTTCAGATAGTGGGGTAAGGGATGCCCAGCCTAATCTACCCTGCCACACTAGATAGCGCTCACGAACACTGGTGAAAGCTGACATGGTGGCACACACCTACAATTCCAGCATTCTGGAAGGCTGAGGCAGGAGGATTGCAAGTTGAAGCCTAGGCTGGGTAATTTAGCAACTTAGTAAGACCCTGTCTCAAAAATTAAATTTTTTAAAGTGCTGGGGATGTAGATAAGTGTGAAGGTTCGATCCCCAGTACCAAAACACAAAACAAAACAAACCTAACTCTGGTCAGCAGTCCATCATAAATGACAGAAGCAAAGGTCTCTTTCCTTTTTTTTTCCTCCCAGTACTGGGAATTAAACTCAGGGGCTCATATTTAGCTGCATACACCCGCAACCCTTTCCATTTTATTTTGATACAGGATGTGCTAAGTTGCCCAGGCTGGGCTCCAACTTGCAAGCCTACTACCTCAGCTTCCCGAAGTGTCTGCCCAGCTTGGATCTTCACATTTTAAAACATTAACAAGCAGACATTGTAATGTCTAAATGAGGACAAAAGTCTAAGACCAGGGACAAAGGGTGTCTAGGGTCTGTTGTTCAACAGTAACTAAGTCCTGAAGTGCTCCAGTGGCTGCACCTGGTTATTTACTCCAGGGTGACCTTGGCACCCTGGCCATGGGCCAGGCTGCCCAGAGAGCCTCTCATATGCAGGACACATATGGAGAAGACCAAGGATTCTGGGCTCAGGCTCTTCCTGGGTCAACACTGCTCACACCTAGAGGTGCACAGCTTTACGGTCACAGCATACTGTTTCATCTTTGAAAGGAGCTTTCACTGGGCCAGAGATGTATCTCAGTGGTGCTATATCTGCCTGGCAAGCACAAGGTCCTGAGTTCGACCCCATACCAGGAAAAGAAAGAAAGAGAGAAAGAAAGAAAGAAGCTTCCAAGGAGTGAGCCAGAAGAGCCCCAGGGTCCAGGACCCAGGAGGGCTACACTGCATTGAGCTGTGCACTGGGAGGCAGTGTCTACATTTCCCATTTCCCAACACTCTCCTCTGCCAGGGCACTACTGGATGTGGCACTAACTCCCCTTTGGTCTGGTATCGAGATGTTCACTGTACCCCTGCCTCCATTATGACACCCCTCAGCATGCTGTAAGAATAGGATTTAAAAACACCATTCCAGAACATTATTCTAGATTAGAGGGTTTTCCAGCACATTTTCCAGAAACATTAAGGCCTGTCAGAGCCAAAAAGACTAGCAAATCATTCAGTTTAAGCCACTTGCTCCAAGGAAATTGCGGTCCAGAGAGGTAAAGCAATAGGATTACAAAAGACACACAAACCAAAAAGGGTAACTGCTATGGAAGATTCCTGTTATTCCTGTAAAGCCACAAGGTTCTGTCTTAGCCTTCTCATAGAAATGGGGCTGAAGTCTCTTCCTACTCAGTTATCCATTTAAATACTGAGCATCCAGTATCCACCATCAAATACTGAGCAAAGGGTTTGTTCAACCCTTGAACTCGTGATTCTCAGCCCTGGATGCACATTAAAAACACTTTGGCTGGGAGGCTGAGGCAGACAGAAGGATCACAAATTTGAACCCACAGGGCAACTTAGTGAGACTCTGGCTCAAAATTTAATGGGGGAGGAGGGGCTGGGAATGTAGCTCTCTGGGAAAGCCCTGGGGGTTCAATCCTAGGACTGTCAGAAAAGACAAAACAAAACAAGACCAGACCAGAGCTGGGTCAGCTACCTAACCCTGACCCTGGAACTCCAGGGTGGCCCTCCCTCTCCTCACTGTCCTCATAGAGCTCCAAAGTCCTCAGCTACCTCCAAGGCTTGGATATTGGCTTCTCTCTCACCTAGATCATTCTTTCCTCAGCTATTCCCATTAGGTCTCTACTCCAATGTCTGTTTTTTTTTTTTTTTTTTTGAGACAGGGTCTCTCTTTATAGCTCAGGCTGGCCTTGAACTATGTAGCCAGGGCCAACCTCAAACTCATGGTGACCCTCCTGCCTCAGCCTCCTGAGTACTGGAATTATAGACAGGTACCACCATATCCAGCCTTGTCTTTTTTCAAATGCTCTTATTTTTCCTTTATGAAAAATTTACAGCTAGGCATTATAATGCATGACTATAATCCCAGCACTTGGGAGGCTGAGGCCTATCACCCCAAGTTTGAGGTCAGCCTGGACTAAATAGTAAATTCAAGACCAGCCTGAACTACATAGCGAGACCCTGTCTTAAATGCCCCCCACAAAAGTTGTAATGATATATACCAGTTGCTATAGTTTTCCATTAAAGAAACAAAATATAGTCAGGTGTGGTGTCGTACACCTGTAATCCCAGCACTTGGAAGACTGAGGCAGGAGGATTGCTGTGAGTTTGAGACCATCCTGGGCTACATAGTGAGTTCCAGGTCAGTCTCAATGACATTGTGAGACGCTGTCTCAAAAAAACAACAAAAAAAATATATAGATATAGATATAGATATAAAGCTACTCCTCAAGCTCCATCCAGCACACAATTGATAGTTGTGTATTTACAGGAGAAGTACCTTTGCCCACAGGTGACCCACAGGCCATGTGCATGGATCTGTGTGAATGCACACACAGGGTCCTCAAGATACCGCCAGGAGTGTGTCTCCTGCTGGCCTGTGTCTTGCTTTGATCTTCACATTATGAGCTGGGTACATTTCTAGATGGTGGAGTGGTGTGTTTTTCTTGGCCAATGAGATTTCTCTGAGTTCTCTATTTTATTTTGATACAAAGTCTTGATATGTTACCCTGGCTGGTCTTGAACTTTGTTAGGCTTTTTATTTATTTTGTTTTTTGGTACTGCAGATTGAACTCAGGGCCTTCCCACTGAACTATATCTTTAGCCTCCAGCCCATTCATTCATTCATTCATACATTTTTATTTATTTTTGATTTTTGAGACAGGGTCTCCTTATGTAGCCTAGGCTAGCCTCAAACTCACAGCAATCCTCCTGCCTCAGCCTCCCAGAGTGCTGGGATTACAGGCATGCCCCACCGCACCTGACAGGAAAAGCCTTTTTAAAAAAAGGCTGGAGCTGGGGATGGTGCTACACTTGCAGAATCACCATAAATTTGAGGCCAGCATCAGCTACATAGTGAATTCTCAGCCTGAACTACAAAGGGAGACCCTGTCTCAAAAACAGAAAAAAGGAACACAATCAGGCTGGAAGACTGGGTGTGGTGGCACAGGTCTATGATCCCAGTACTCCAAAGGCTGAAGTGAGAAGATTGTAAATCCAAGGTCAGACAAGGAAGCTTAGTAAAACTATCTCAAATAAAAGAGTTGAGAGGACTGGGGGATGTAGCTCAGTGGTAGAGCACTTGCCTAGCATAGGCCCTGAGTTCAATCCCCAGCACCACAGAAAGAAGGAAGAAGCAAAATCAAAAAGGCTAGAAGCCTGAAGAAACAGAAAACATTTAGAAATAAGTATCTCCAGTCAACTAATCCAACCCATGACAGTTTGTCCTGAGGAACACTGGAGATAGGGGCTTGGGATGTAGCTCAGTAGCACAGCCGCTGACAAGCACAAGGTCCTGAGATCGATCCCTGGTACCAAAAAAACCAACCAACCAACAGACAAACAAAAACTATCAAGACAGAACATGCAGCTGGAAGAAGCATAGACTGCCACCCTCACACAGGGACCAAAAGAAAAGATGACCCCCTCTGGCCTGTGCTCTGCGAGATACAGGCCTGGTGAGGGCAGGACCACCAGCCCGACAGATGCCACCAACACCAGAGGATCCTTCCTTTCCTCAGCCTACCTGCCCCCAAAACCCACTCCATGCACCGACAAACTCCAAGTGGGAGCACCTCACCATCAACTACATCTCACCAAAGTCATCTGCTCCCTTCCTGCCTGCTGAGCCCGTCCCGATCACCTCGCCTGCCCGCACGGTCACTCTGCACGCCTCCCTGAGACCACTCGTCCCATCACCACGCAGTGGCTCACTCCACAGGTCACCTTCCCTCAGAGTACTCACAGACCCATCCCAGCTCCTCCCTCCAAGCTTCCAGCTGCAGCCTTTCCCAGCCCTTCTCCCCATGCACACCTCACTCCCACGGGCACGCACATTCACTCACTCATTCGAGAGTGTGACTTAAGCACCTTCTGTGTGTCAGGCACTGCCCCCTGTGGCTGGCAGCCCACTGGAAGGAGACAGACTCACACCAATGCCAGAGTCAGGCAGACATCTCAACTAGAGTTCCCACCCAAACTTGGAAACTGCAGGGAATATCCTCTCAATCTGAAGCAGAGGAGAGCAAGCCATGCAGCTGCAGGGGACAGAGGGCTTAGAGAAAGGTTTAGAGGCAGGAGATGTAGGGTGGCAGGAGTGACAGAAGGCTACTTCGAGAGCTCTGGGCAACTCTGATACAAGGCTACAAACGTGGGGTGGAGGGGGACACGTCTGACTTACATTTAAAGGGGCCACGCCACTCTACCCACATACACACCACCCCTCAGTCAATAAGAGGAATCACAAGGAATGTGTTTTCTCCTCCAATGTTCCCAATTGATTTTAACTGGACATATATTATTTTTTAAACAAGAGAAAAAGTACTCTCCCCAACAATTAAAGATCCCACACAAACTCCACCTCCAATGCTGGCCCACGCTGGACCCCATACTGAGCCAACAGCACCACCAGATGGGCCTAGCACCTCTCCTCTGCGGCAGGACTGTGTCCCTCCCTGCACTTGCCCCTGCTCCCAGGGGCTTCCTGGCCCCAGTCTTTTCTCTCAGCTGACTCATTAATTCCTCATAATTAAAGCTACAGTTTGATGAACTATTAAGACTATGGCCTCTCCCAGAAGGTGTAAAGATTTTAAAAGAGATTCCTAAGACAGAAATGTGGAAGGCTGAGGGTGTAGCTGAGTAGTAGAGCACTTGCCCAGCATGTGTGAGGAGGCTCTGGGTTTGATCCCAGCACCACAGAAAGAAAAAGGAATGAAGAAAGCAAGCCAGCCAGCTTCCAAGGAAAGAAGTGCAATGGTAGAATACAGACATAGGGGCTCACAGGATGTGTACAAGGTCCCTTCTCCTAAGGGTACAGCACTCCAGGAAGCAGTGTCAAGCGGAGACCAGTAAAATAATGAAATAAGAGATTACACCAGTGTCCCGCTTCTCTCCTCCCCAAGAGCCATCCACTCCACCCTGGGTACTCCCCAGAGGCAACCCAGCCACCTCAGAGGGTGACCTGTGGTGAGTGACCTCCCCCTGTGAAAGAAACTGCCCCTAGACACTTCCAGTCTGGAAGCAAATTGTTGCCTAATTGCTTTCTCGGAGCACTTGTGAGGGCCGGGTTCACCTTATGTGACTCATCAGGTTCCACAGAGCAGCACTCTGGCCTTGGGTACAGTGCACACCTGTCAGGGGCACCTGCAAACGGTCCATCAATGGACCGATGATGACTCTGCTGCAAAAGGCCCTGCAAGATTTTAAATGTAAGTGCATGTTCTGAGAGACAGACAGACAGACACAGACAGAGAGACAAAGAGACAGAGACAGAGAGAGGGCCAACAGTGCTAATACACATTGAGTATTTTAAGGGCTTGAGTTTATTGTCTCGATGAAGCACCAGACAGGGAAGGGTTTTCTATACCATCAGCCAGCCTGATTCAGATCTAGAAGTCTTACAAGCCTAGAACAGAGTACAGCCCTCCCAACCTAGAAGAACCTGAACAGCTGTTTAGTGCCCGTCGTGGGCTCCCTCCTCCTCTGACAGTGTCACAGCTCTGTCTCAGATGTGCTTCCTGACCTGGAACAGCCCAAAAGTGGCCTGCAGTTACAATGGGTACATGCTTGCAAAAACCCTCCCTATTGTTTCACTCTGCACTTCAGAGAGTAAACGAACACCTGCTACTTCAGAAACTGAACTGGCAGGAAGGAGTACAATGCCATAAACGGAAATAAAGCCGGGGAATAAAAGTGGATTCTACTGGGTGTGGTGGCACATGCCGAGATCCCAGCACTCTGGGAGGCCGAGGCAGGAGGATCAAAAGTTCAGGGCCACTCTGGGCAATTTATCAACTAGTAAGACCATGCCTCAAGACAAAAGAATTTAAAAAGGGTTGGAAATGTAGCTCAGTATGAAGGCCCTGGGTTCAATCACCAAAAAAAAAAAAAGCAGAGCCATAGCCCACTGAGCTCGAGCTTACCAAGGACAGTGTGGGTAAATGCTCCTCCATGCAAAGACTGGGAGGAAGGAGCAGTGCCCACCTGACCCCCAGAGTGGGTGGAGCCCTACCCCAGAAATGGTATGGGGGGCTTGTACATAGAACACGTTCTCGTTGTAGTCCCTTGGTCCCCAAATTGTCATATCAAGGCCTCTGCCACACACCCTCAGGTGGACATACAGGAGGAGGCCCAGGGCCATACCAGCAGAGTGATTTCCCTAGACATTCTCTTGAAGAACAGGAAGCTACTGGCTGGGCATGGTGGCACATGCCTGTAATCCCAGCACTTGGGAGGCTGAGGAGGAGGATTGCTGTGAGTTCGAGACCAGCCTGAGCTACATAGTGAGTTCCAGGTCAGTCTCACTACATAGTGAGACCCTGTCTCAAAAAACCAAAAAAAAAAAAAAAAAAAAAAAAAAAAAGGAAG